AGATGAATCCTCCCTTCATTTATCTTTAATTGGATTTCCAATAAAAAAATGTGTTATCCTTCAGAGGTCTCCCTTATTGCACTCAACTTTCTTTGGGGTGGGTCGACATTGGAAGTTTTTCTCAGCTGCTCCATTATTCATGGAAGCGAGCCACACATCAACAGCTGGAAAAAAAAGGTGACTAAACTAGAATGAATATCCTCTGAAAGATTGGATTTCCTTGATTCATTTCCCCGCTCTGCTTGATGCATTTTAATTCCCTCCCACAATAACTTATAAAATGAGTTTTAAAGATCAAAGAGTGATAAGAGCCAGAGTATCAGTTTCAAACAGGTTATGGAACATGTTCCATCACTCACCAGCTTGTGCTTTCCGAATGAAATACACTGACAAGATGTCATTATTCAGTCAGTATTGAAAGTTTTGCTTTTGAGTCTTACAGTATAAAGTCAGAAAAAGTAGTTGCTTTTGAATTTTATAAGATACAACTGGTCCTCCAGTTAATGTGAATTGATGCTTACAGGAACATTTCTTAAATTTGGGGGAGATTTTCTGTGATCTTCTGGACTAAAACGGTATCAAAGGGTCAAATCTGAGAGGCAGCCCAAAGTCCTCAAATATGACTGGCTATTTTCTTTGTCAGAGCAGGATTTATATAACAGTAAACTCTACTATTTAGTGCTGGGCGTTTCCTTTTGTTAGTACTGTAAAATTATGATTCTTGACATACAACTGTCCTTAATGCACACTGTTGTGTTACTTTTGAAAGTTAAAAAGGTAATGTTAGTAATTTATGTAAACTCCTCAAAAAAAGTTTGGAAACGTTATTCCGGCCAATTATTTTGCACATTTAATAAATGAACTCACGGGAGGCCATTCCATCCTCTCCACTCCCAAATTCTGGAGCTACTCTGTGATGATCCTGGCTCTGTGGGGGAGACAGTGTCATTCTGGAGGATGGAGTTAGGTCCTAGACTGTGGAGATATGGGACTGCCACTGGCTGCAGAATCTCATTCCGACATCTCACTGCATTGAGATGGCCTTCAATGATGACACATTCTGTTTTGCCTGTGAGAGAGATACTGCCCCACACCACCCCACTGCCCCATTTGAAAGACTACCAACAGAAGAATATTGCATAGGATTTTGGCACATTTATTTTGAGTGCTACCCACACATTTAATAGTGCTGCTCATTCCACAAATGGACAATCCTTTCAAGTTATACCTCATTGTAAAGGTAACTAATCAGGCTTTCCAACGACATATAATACAACGCCAATTAGTATTGTTAAAGGGGCGAAATAAGTTAACAAAGTAACGTTTCCAAACTTTTTTTGACAAGTTTAGATATGATAAGTGGACACAGAAAGGGTAAATAAAATGTATTAATTTATCTAACAGGGGATTTATTTGTTACACACTCACCAAGGGTGTGTGTGTGTGTGTGTGTGTGTGTGTGTGTGTGTGTGTGTGTGTGTGTGTGTGTGTGTGTGTGTGTGTGTGTGTCTATGTGTGTGTATGTGTGTGCGTCTGAGGGCACTATGACTAACATACAACAGTCTTTAAAATTTGCCTTGAAATCTTAGTCTAAATCTTAGAAAGTAACTTTTCCGCAACAATAAATCTAGAAAAATTCAGAAGAAACAAAGTAAAAAAATGTTTACCACTGAGGTATGAATAAAACTGCTTCATCAAGAGTCTCCGGTTTGTTCTGATGATACAGGGATAACAAACCACCATCTGTCATCAGATTCTTTTCACATGTTGTTTGGTACATCGTGTATGAGAGTGAGTCACATCCTTTCCTCTTCCTCTCCTCCTGAACTAGAAAAAGATCAAGCAACCAATCACAGCAAGATGCCAGTTTTCAGGGAAATAAAAAATGTTCTACAAGTACGACTGAGTTATGTTAAAGATAAGTACGGCTGATCCAGAACGCTGCAGCTAGAGTCCTCACCAAAACCAAGAAAATGGATCACATCAGTCCAGTTCTGAGGTCTTTACGCTGGCTCCCAGTCTGTCAGAGAATAGATTTTAAAATACTGCTGCTGGTTTATAAAGCACTGAATAGTTTAGGGCCAAAATACAATAGTGACCTCCTGATTAATTACGAACCATCCAGACCGCTCAGGTCGTCTGGGACAGGTCTGCTCTCTGTCCCCAGAGTCAGAACCAAACATGGAATTGCCTTGTTGTTGAAATGTGCTATATAAATAAACTTGCCTTGCCTTGCACTATAAGTGGGGTCAAAAAAAATCCTCACCTTCTCACTCACTTTTCAAGTATGTTTCCAAAACAACCTACCTAAGGATTTTGTATGAAAGATATGTAAGGACCCATGAACAGAAGATCACCAACAGGTGAATTGATGACCTGAGGTGGCATTCATGTCTTACTTAACCAGCCTTCCCTTAATTTATAGATCCAATCGATGGTTTGTTAACATTTTACTCTGTATATAACACATTTTTTAATAGATAGAGTCAGTAGAGAATATTTTGGTGCTGCTTTAAACCACTGAAATGTTTATTTTTCAGTGCACAGCAATCATCTCTATCTAATGTCTGTGACTCCGAGAGAGGAGCAGGCAGCCACGGTAGCGAAAGAAATTAGCATTTGAGAAAGTAAGAAAACAATTAATATCTGGTTCAAGCCGCCCACTCTGGAGCTGCTGCTTGGCAGTGAAGACGTAAACCCACCTAACCCCCATCAGGAGCTGTGTGTGGGCGAGCTAGACTGACACAGGCCAAGAGTGATCCAGCCAGAGATTCTCGGCTTTAAAAGCTCGGCAAGGAGGTAATGGAGGCCTTTCTGTGCACTCGCCATCAGACAGTATAGAGGACTGAAGTGCGTGGGTGGGCGGAGGCTGGCGAGTTGGCTGAACGGCTGCCGGAGCCGGGATAACAAGCAAACCTGACTACAGCTTTGTTCGTTCAAATTGAATCTTTATAATAGACACAAAAAAGTGCATTCCTTTTTTAGCAGCCCGGATCTTCTTTTTATAGTTACGTCCCTGATATCAGAAAGATTGAATGAATTGCTGAGATCTGGTTTTGCAGAGACAGGACATGTATAATAAACAAGAAGCTCAAGCAGTCTGTGATTCGTGCAGGTTAAAGCCAATGTAGCAGTAAATGCAATCCAACATAACTAGTCTTTTCAAACACCAACACAAAAACAGATCCTTGTTAACATAGTTGCAAAATGTTTCAAAGGTTTGAAATGGCATATTTGCATCACCTCCCCTCAGGCTGCACATTTCAGATTCATTTGGCACCGTTTTTAAGGCCTGAAGACATAAAACTATTTGCAGAATTGAAGTTTTTTTTAAAAGGCAAAACTTAATACAGCTGAAACGGATATTTGCCAAAGTACAGTATCCAGCTAATCATCTCACATCCTCTTGGATCATCAAATAGCCACAGGTTTAGATGTCTATATCGTTACTTTGTTAAAGAGCCCATATTATACCCTTGTTGGGGTTCGTTTATTTAATTTATGTACCTACTAAATTATGTTCACAATAGCTAAAGTTCGAAAAAAGTGTCTGTCTTCATGTTCTGCCGCTCCATGCACCGGCTCGCTTCTGACTCTCTCTGTAAGGCTCTGAAGTGCCCACTTTCAGAGTCCCCACGTGTGCCAAGTCTGATCTGATTGGTCGGCCTGTCGGCTCTGTTAGTTAACGGGCGTGCAACATGAGCTGCAGGGCTTGCCACAACGAGCCAATGGGCTTAGATCAGAGATCTCACACTGACAAGACGTCTCACTGACAAATTTTTGTTCGAGGGGGGCTAGAACCGAGCGTAAGATGCAGCTAATGCTACAGCTAACAGGAGGACGTAGGAGAAGCCACGTCTCTGCGGACTTTGAATTTTTGCACATAGATGTGCCTAAACATGCACAGGACACTTGGAAAACACACTAAAGAGCATATAAAACCAGAAAAAGCATAATATGGGACCTTTAATACCTTGGCTAACTTTTTTTCAGGCCCGTCAGAAGGATGTAATGTCTTAATCAGGTGAATTCACACATGCACATTTTAAATGGCCCAGTTTTATCTATAACTTTATTACCCCATTCCCATCGTCAAGACCATTACAATCATGTCTTTGATATGGAAAATATTAATCCCCTTACAATTTCAATGTTGTTAAAACATTAGAAGGTATGGTTGACATTGTATTTAATATCTTAAGAACATTGCGCCCACAGACTTTGAAGCAGACCGCTTCAATCATCTCTCTTTTAGAAGCTTCAAAATCCAGATCCGAGTTAAAGTGTCTTTACTTTGACTCCATAAAGTCAAGCCATAATCACCATTACTAAATGTTATGTCTATTTTGATAATTGCTCAAAATGTGCCTGTTGAAACTATAAGCTGTCCACTACGTCACTTCCTGATCCCTTATCTCAGGTCTACTGACCAATAATGAGGCTGTGTTCCTAACTTCCCTCAAACCAGAGTCTCTGTATCAAACGTGGGTCAAAGCTTTGCTCAAAAAGGGCCGTAAGTAATCGCCCTGTCTTTTATTAATAGCTTGATGTTTGCACAACACCTTAATTAAATAATTACAACAGTGTTATGTGATCAATAGTGAGTAGATTCTTCTTGACGATGGATGATGGGTGCTGGCAGAGCAAAACGAGCATTCAGTGGCAATTTATTTAAGTTTCATTCAATGGTTACATACGCTATTGGAGTCTTGACACAGAAATAAAATGTCATTAAGAAAAAAATCAGACAAAAGATTGCTTCATTTGGCTTTTGTCACAGGCACTCACTGTGGATATGAAAACTCCAAGCATCACAGCTTAAATTACAACATTAAAAGACCTGCTGCAAACTCAGGCCACAAAGATCACATGAAAAGACCATACATAACTAAAAAGAATGTTCTTTATCTTGCTTTGACAAAAAATATTCAAGCAGTATAAAATTCCACTCAAGCCATGGTCATACTTTAAAAAAAAAAACACTTAGGGATCCTACTTACTGCAGGTCTCTTCGGCCTCATCAGAGCCATCAGGACATTCTGGTTCCCCATCGCATCGCCAACGTCCCGGCACACATTGGCCGTTCAAACAGGCAAACTCTGCAGGGGCGCAGGTCTTCCTGGCTGCTCGAAGAAGGGAGAGAGAGAGAGAGAAAAGGCACAGAGAGAATTTGATTAAGAAGGGAAAGTGTGAGGCCAATATGACCGAGTAAAAAAGCACAGCATGTACGCAGCAGGATTTAATTTCTACGTTGAAACTGCTCACATTATTTGAATCCCAATGATCAACTAGTCATTAGCGGAGATCAACCTCATCAGCTCTCGGCTTTGCAACTTTAATATCTTCGCTGTTAGTTTCATGACTCCTTTTCATTGTGTTTCCCTCCCCTCCCCCCCTTCGCCTGACTCCTCTGCCTCTCCTCCTTCCGCTGTTCTCTGAAAGTCTAATCTCTCCTCCAGGTTTTCCATCACAGAGCAGAGAAAAGTATGCTGATTGCAGAACACTGCCGGTTCGGGGAGGTTAAACCTGTTACCTCCCAAACCTGTTTACCACAGAGAGCTATGAGCCGGGGGGCCACGGGCTGATAAACATGTCAAACGTGCCGGGAATCGGAAATCACAAACATGTCAGGAAAAATGCCTGTTTAAGCAGAAAGAAGACAAACTTAGCGATTAAAACTTTCCCAAAACAGCCGACAGCTTATCATGGTTTCTACACACGTCGTGCTGTGTGCACATACACTTCAGACACACAAAACGCACACTCTCTGTAAGCTGGACCTGAGAACCAGGAGCACACAGAGGTCAGAGCCATTCAATTTCCTCCTCCTGTTACTCCAGTCCTGCAGTCCAGTCTAATAAATCAGCGTCTAAAAGGCCCCTCAGCTCCTATTGTTACCCTGCCACAACTGTTCCTGAGCCGACTCCATCTTGGCTCTGATGCTTCAAATTAGATCGAGCATTTAGAGATGTGTGGGGAGTTTAAGCTTAGCTGAGGGGCTGTGAGGAAAGAGAGCAGGCAGTGATTATTCCACAGTTGTTCACACTAATCTAACTGCACCCACTCTCTACAACTCCTGATCGCTCCTGACCTTTACATCAAAGGGCAGAAGAGTTAAAGTGTAGGTTCAAACTCAGCACTAGTTTGAACACAGCAGGGGAGTTATGATTTAGATTATTACGTGTATTTTACTTGGAGAAATTAACTTTAAATTGGCTGTGCCAGAGACACTCTCAAAACTTAAATAAAAAGAGTGAGGGAAGGGGGAATGGGAAGAGCGAGCAGGACCAATAAGAGGAGTCTTCCACAAACAGTGACTGTTTCCAAGTAGAAATCTCCACAACACATATAGGGACAGGCAAAACACAACGGTGGAAAACATTATTATCAAGGCTGATACAAGCAGTAAGACCCACTCTAAATAAATGTTCCAGACTACGACCTGCTGTGTTCACACATCAGCTCACTTAGGAAACGTCTGTGTGAAGTCTAAGAGACAAGCCAGAAATAGTCCACATAAAGTTTGGGTGACGAATTCAGACATTTACCTTCACACGTACAGACTGCCTGGACAATATGTGAAAGGAGCTTATGTTTTATAAGCATGACGTTATTTTTAAACTGCAAGTACAATTCATCAGAAATGTTTGCTATCGGTAAAAAATAAAATAATAAAAAGCTTTAGTAAACCTTCTTCCACTACATCTTTTAATGCCAGAACTGACAAGAGGCTCACAAGAAAATCTAAAACGGCACAATTCACTTCCTCTTCATGTAGTGATTGATCTGCTCCTCGAAGGGGAAGAGGACGCAGGGTTTGAACTTTCTTTTCACACATTTTTTTAGTCACCTGTAAATCGCAAATGCAACACCTCTAAAGTCAACTAGAAGAGACTTCCTGAAAAGGTGTACCAATATTACTGTATATTTAGGATGTTTCGCTTTTCTCTCTGTCAGTCTGATTGTCACCCTACCTCTTAAGGTTTGGTCATAAAACTGTGTTAAACGCGTTACACTCAATGTGGTGGGGCAACACATTATATAAACCAGGGCTGAGCAAGAAGAGTGAGCTATAGCACAGCATTCAGTTTCTACTAGTCTAAACTTCTTGCCCCTAAATGTTAACATGTTGCATCCAGCTCTGTGTTTTTAGCAGGACGGGGTGTTCACAGGATTTTGATGGTGCAGCTGTTACTTATGACCACTTCTGTGTGAATCAGCTCTCCTTACCTAAGCGAAATTATACACCAGGAGCGATCAAAGAATGATTGATGAATTATTGACACCAAACACACGTTTTATTAAATCATAATATCTGGTTCTCATATGAAGCACACATTTCTTTCTCCCTAGAACAATCTAAATCTTTTCATTTCTAAGTGGCTTTGACTTGTCATGAAAGTACAGCTAACGATCTGTTCGACGCTGTCTTCTCTCATTCAAACTCCATTTTTGTCTCTCATCATGCCCCTGAAGCCCTAAAAAGTCAGTTATAGCTTTAAAAGGCTACATGTTATTGTCTGAAAATAGCCAATGGGGTTCCAAGATTGGTTAGTCGGGCACATTTTTCCTTACCGTGTGAGCTGTACAGTAAAGACAGTCAGCAGATCAAACTGTATTTGTGTCTCACTCTTTAATCCAATCTTCCTTGGCTTTCCTTCAACATACATAAAATCCCTGTGATATCTAATCATCACGTTTACAGTTTGGGTCACTTAAGCATTATCTATCATGTGATTTTACCTCCTCTTACTGTAGTCCAGCAGCAACAGTTCAGGTCGGACTGCCACAGTGAAGCACTACGATTAGAGAGTGCCTGTCTCTTATTCTAAATCTTGTTTAATTGCCACATTCTCAATTATCTCCTGTGTCAAAGAGCCAAAGTCAAAGCGATAACGGCTCATACTGGCCTGCTGATGCTATCATAAGAGAATTATGAAATGTGTAGCAGTGTCGCTGTGATTGGACATGAATGTGTTTTCAAGCTGTCACCACAATCAGCGGCCAGTCTCATTTCACTTCAAGTGCTTTTATTAACATTCCTACTCGCCTTTTCTGCACACAGTAATGAGCTGATCCCGTTAAGACGACGGAGTAAAACACTCCCTCCACTCTCTTTGTTCCTTTATGTCTGCCCCCAGGCCTTTTAGTTTTTCACCACAAAAATAAACACATTTTGGATTGTTTTTGGGTGTTCCTTAGTGCAGCTTAAGTGCCACTTGTGTCCTCATTAGAGTGCAAGAACGTGGGCCTTTGTTTAAAGGTGAAGACGGATGATTATGTAGCAAACAGGGACTGTGACGTGCTTTTAACCAACACCTCCCTCAAGTGTAAGAACTCATTAGTGGTGTCTCACATCATGGGAAAAAAAAAAAACTATGGTGTCTCCTGCAGAACACATATGACCTGGATAATGTTCTGTTTATGTTTCTCTTTTATTCTCTTAAGGCTGTGTTATCATTTCTGTTAGTATGTTTTTTTCATGAATTCATTCATCTTGGTAACTTTTGTGAATGCAGGATTTTAAATCTGTCTACCATCATAATACTAAGATAATTCTTCTTTTAGGTTTGTGTAGCTTTAATACATATTGGATATATGGATCAGAGCCAACTGTATGTTGTGCGCAGAAAAGGAAACATGACTTGCTCGGGCTGAAGAAATGTCTTGACAGTTAAAGGTAATGTCTCCTTCCTAGCCTATAGAAATGTACTCAAATGGAAAGGAACTTGTAGGCTGTACCTGCTTATACGACATAAGACTGTTAACATGAAAACTTTGTCAGTCATTCATGTTATGCTATGCTTTGTCTGACCTTGGCCAAATAAACAAGATAATCCTCAGTCTGTCTCACGATTTAATTGTTGAACAATTGCAGAAGAACACCCCCACCTAACAATTTCCTTTCTTTAGTCACATCTTTGGAGGGGGTAATGTCAGTCATTTAAAGGCAGACACGGTAAATCTAAGCGTCTTCCAAAAGTCTAAATAATATTGCAGTTTTCGTTGGTGAAGCTGCTGGCTGATAGGCTCAAGGTTTCTATATATTTCATTTCATATGTGAACTATAGATGGTGTTACTTTATAACCTGCTTCAGTATTTTTTACAACATATTCTCCTTTTGTACTTTTTACAAGTTTAAGTATAATATTTCTGCATTAGCTCAATTCTTCCCTTACAATGAAAGTAAGCGAAGTCCCGAGTATTTGATGGTTATTTATTATCTTACCAGATTTCTCTGTGGTGTGAGGTATGGTAAGAGTGATCCAATCTGCTCGGAAGAACACCCTAGCCATACTGACTTCAAATCATAAATACAGTATACAACATGTTAAATATTTATGATCCGATCGCCCGCTGTGTGGAGGGAACGGGAGGACTCGTGCAAACGGAATGATGGCCAGTTGGGAAGCAAGCTGACTGAAGGAGGAAGCACAACAACAGCAGATACTGTACTCAACACACAGCTGTTCTTTCTTTAGAGAGGAGTTAGTATCCTTTCTTTATCTCGGATGCTGGGTGGAAACTGTCAAACAGGCCCAGGAGGGGGATTTCAAAATGAAGGCTTATCATAAAGATGACAACAGCATTAGGCAAACATGCACTTTTTCAAATCTTTTTATCACTTGTTTAGGTAGGTGTGGCGGTGAAGGTAGAATAGCAGCTTTAGAGGCGATAGATTAATTAGATTCATAACACCCTCCAAATCCTGGAAGATAGGACGCATTAAAATTCTTATTCAATTAATGAATTAATTTGACTCCCATGAGATGAAGAAAGAGAGAGAGAGCTAAGACCCTGAGGCTTAGCAGTATGACTGTCTTCAAGACTTCGTTTGATCGCACGACAAAGATGTGAAAAATCTCCCGTAGATCTGTGTCATGGCCTCTGCATGTCACACGTACACACATAGTGCCGGTCATCTCCACAAAGTCAGAGCTTTCTTACCCCAAACTGAGCTCACCTCTCCTTTCAGTAAAGGTCTACGGGGGCCATGGTTCACTTGGCAATAATTACCTAAGCCAGCTCGTGCCATCTGCTAGGAATGACTGTGTGTTTTTAATTAGGAGAGGTTTGAAAACGTTGAGATGGTGGGGGGTGAAGGGGAAAGTGACATGAGAA